AAATATCGAAAAATATACAGCGCGCGAATTTTAAATGAGAATTTCCGAAAACTTTTCGGTCACAATGTACATGCTATCGAATCAATTGAATAAATTCCTTCAGAAATTGGTGGATGAACAGCAAGCTTGTTTTGAACGTGAACGTATAAAAACATTGGACTGGACTAATGTCGGTTTTATTGAAGTGAATCAATAAGTAAAAATATATGTGAAAGATTAAATAATAATTATTTTGAAATGAAATTTAATTATTATTTATTCAAGGGTAAAAGTTAAGTGAATTGACTTAGAATAAGTTAGAGTACATATATTAAAGAATATGGGGTACATACATATTACGTAGTTTTACTAACTTACTTGTAAATATTTTTATTTATACAATTAATGAAAATACACAGATTAAAAAAAATTAATAAAGTAATTTTATCTTCACATGTGCAGTAAGTGTTCAATTTAATTTAAATATGTATATTAAAATAAAGATGCCAGCTAACAGCACTTGAAAAGTGGAAAACAAGAAAATAACCACAATATAAAAGTCTATAGAATACATATCTTCTCAATGTTAAAAAAGTTTTTATTATTTTTCGTCCAAAACAATTCAGAATACTGAAACCGTAATTGAGCTTGATAATCTGAATCCATCTGTTATCTTCAGTATTGATGCGTTAATGGTTAATGAATTTTCTGAAGTTTTGAAATGGAAAAGGTATAGTGTTGGCAGTTATTCCACCAATCACAATAGCTAGCGTTGACATATCGTTTTTCGTTATAAATAGAAAATGTTATTCGTTGCGATAGTTTCAGTGCGCTTCTTATAATACCTGTTTACTGGATATTGCAGTTGAAACGGTTGAAGTAGACTAACTCTAATCGAGAAAAAGCAGGTAATTCCAAAATGTTTTAATTTTTAATCTATAGGCGTCCGTCAAAACATTTTTGACTACGGGTTTGGTTATGATTCCACAAAATATAATCAGATATTTGCTATAAAGGTTTAACTTCTGAATAATGTCAATTTCAAAAAGTAATTACATACGTTGTTCATTCCTACTTCATCCTTCACAAATAAATGCAATTAATACACGAGTCTATAAAAGCTTATTTATAATATGATATAATTTTGGAAAGGGTTCTTTTATTTATGGGTATTACCTTGAAAAGCCTAAATAATTACTATTCAAGGGTAATAAGTCATATTTGTGCGCACATGTCACCTATCTTTGACAGAACTATGTGTGTTACATGTTTCTATTTGCATGCAAATATTACGCAGGATAATGCACGTACGACAACTTCCGCCGGAGTTTTTGTGGGTGAGGTGAAAGCGACCTAATAAAAATAAAAACATGTACATATTATAAAATACTTAAGAAAGCAACAGACAGCCTAGACAACTAGAAGGCAAATAATCATGCACGGGAACTATTAAAGGAGCTTTCATTTTTTACAAATAAACGAAATTAATTCAATTTATTGATTTTTTATTTGTTGTGGCGCCATTATTTATTTGTATGCCATTTTTATTATTACTGCCATTATTGTTATTGTAGCAAATGTTATATTTGTTTATAGCTATTCGAATGTAGTAAATTTATGAATTCACAAGTATAACATTTCCATGTGACTTTTTCTATAGAAATTTTTCCTCATGTTTATTCCGTGTTTTTAGTGCAGTTAACTAGCACTTTTACATATTTTTATCTATTCGTTTTTTTAAGTGCTGTTACCTGGCATATAAAATCTTCTCTCATTTCAGCTTAATCGACCAGTGTCTGCATGTGTCAATTACTGACAGGATTTTTTGTTATTGATAAAAATTTAATACCGAGAGCCAATTTAATCAAATACAAAGTGATTGGGATTTTTAATGTGCTTTTGCAAAACGCAGTTTTTATAGTCATATAGTCATAAAATTAGGGTTGAATTCATTTAATGAAAATTGCGTATCGAGACTGCTACAATAAAACTTCCAGTAGTACTCATTAATTAAAAGATTTTTTTTTAACAAAAGTGTGGCCAAATGAGCTATTTGCAATAATAAGAGATGTAGTTATGCGTATGGAAGCCTTTCTAGCTTTTACTCAATAACGACAACCGAGAATCGTAGGACGAAAAAGGATCCAAGTCGTTTCGTGGTCCACTTCGGCTAATCCTTCATTTCAGTTGGGCCTGCTGGACGGTGCGCTCTCTCAATGTCTCACAATATATTTTTATATAAAAAAATTGTAATTAAAAATAAATTAACTGCAGGTTAATAAGAGCACAAACACTTATTGTAATTTAATTAATAACATTTTTTATATTAATATCGCATCTTTATGTGGTTGGTATTTAAAAATACCAGAGCATAGAGCAAAAAGCCTCAGTTATCAGTTATCCTCTGTTATGAGAATTGGCAACGATGTTGCTTCATGCTTACAGAATAATAGAACAGAATGATATTATACTTTGTTTTATATTTAAAAACGCCAACATATCACTAAGTGATATACCAATATTTATAATCTTTATATGGAAGTGCTTTATTTCTTCTGAAAATAATAATTATAAAAATTAAAAATTTTTAGTATAAACACAAAATAGTTTATACAGTTAACACTAGAGAATCCCAATGACTCACTATATCGTGTATATCGTGATTATTACAGGTTTCCTAATTATTTATATAGACAAATTTCTAATCATTTTTGAAGATTTCTTCAAATCTAATCATTTCTAACATTAGAGTCTACAAGTCATCTGTAGCGTATCTTTTTTGTAACAACCTACAGCCGAACCATACTATTAAGGACATAAATAGCTTTATATCTTTGAACTTTAAAAGTAACCAAAAAAATGATGAATTAAGTAACAAAACTATAAAACTATTTTAATTTTATTCGTGCGGTATTTTTACTTTATTATAAATGGCATGGAAAACCTCCATCTAAAACTTTACATAAATAAACAAGACGAATGCTTTACTGCCTATAGTGTTTCCCATTTCTTCAAATCATGACAAAAATCTATTAAAATTTTACGTACTCATAATTAGTAAGCAAGTAATATTCTTTATTATCCACTAAATACGAGTATATGACTTCCAATTAACGAGCAATGGCATGCTTCCCATAGTTCATTGCTATAGTAAATTGTTGCTCTCTATTTAATAATAAATATCTTTATTGACTTAGGCCCAACTAACTATTGGTATGTTCGAAAAATATGAGGGCGGTTCCGTATTTTTAGCTGTTTGGTTTATGAATATAAAATAAGTAGGGTGTCGATAAAAAACAGTGTTGGTAAGTAAATGATTTGTTTCATTAGTTTATGAGTTTTGTTACTGAAAATTAAAAGATTCTTCTTGGTCGGGTGATTGTAGTGTTCTGTTTCAAACGGGATCTATCTAATACTGACAAATATTATCTATCAGAACACACCTCATCAAGTTATACAACTCTATTACCAGTTTGCAAGAAAGATAAAAGAAACTTAAAGTAATAAGAAATGATAACTTTTTTTGGTGAAAAAAATTTCATATATATTGAATTTTATATACCTATTATATATATAAAAAAATCAAACTAATATGCAATACATCTTATATTTTTAGTTCACTCTCTATCCAGCTTTTTCAAATGTCAATCATAATCTTTAATTAGTAAGGATCATGATCTGAAGACAATATCTGTCAAAATTACTTATCTATAATATAGATAAGTGCTTTTAGCAATATTACTAACAAGCTTGTTGAATATACTATATACTATATAATATTAATGTTATATTTTAGGTTTATTAATCAAAATTTGGTATTCAAGAAATAATTAATTTTAATAGATAAAAGATAAAATAAAAAATAAAAGAATAAAAGAATAAAGGAATTTTTAGATAAAAGAATAGATAAAAGAATTTTAAACAGTTCTGAACACTATGCGTATTGGCAGTTATTAGTGAAAAAGTCACTATAATATAATATATATGAAAATATTTTAAATATTAGTTAGTATAGTGTTTTGGGAGCCGTCAAAATATAATAAATTATTGACATGCAATGCAGATACGAGTATATGTAAAAAAAAATAAATGAGTTCTCGCTATAGTTTTCATTTATATTAACTAAGAGTAAGTTGTTGATTTTGATATGAAATATTCGATACAAAAGTATGTGTAAGTATGAGAATATTTACCCCCTTCCTAGTTGCTTTACACCCTTTATAACCATCAAATATGTGTCTACAAGACTGATTGGTTTGTGAATATTTCATTTAACGGACGTGAATATTTCCATTAAAACAAAGGTTGTATGACCTTACGTCAGTGTATGCCTCCTTTCTATCGACTTTCATGTGAAACGAGGTATGGGATCTTATGGATGGAAAATTGACATAGTCATCGCCATCGTCATCGTCATCATCGAAAATGTTGTTACTGTTGTGAAAAGCTATGTATATACATACAAGTATTGTTCAGTATTTCAAGGAAAGTTTGACTAAAAATACTTAAAAAAAACGTTAAAAGCGCAACAATATTCGTGCGAAGGCTTCTCGACAAAAGGATAACAAAATATAGCGAAAGTTTATTGTCGTGTCTTATTAGTGTTTCACCTGCGCGTATAAACGGTTGTGCAATTTATAGTTCATAGCAATTTTTGTAAAAATAACTATATAATTTCAAAATTATATACTTTACCTTTTTCATATAACGAAAAAGTTTTAATTAAAGTGAAATAAGTACGTAAATATGTCCGACGAAATTCTCAACAAAGAAACGGAAAATTCTTCAACATCGACACCGGAACAGAGGCGTTCAACTGTCCCTGACATATTGCGACATCAACGTAGCTTCGAGAAACGTTATAGCCCCATAATAAATAAGCAAATACTGGAAACTAGCATTAATAAAGAAGCATTGCATCGACAGATGAATGCGTTCTTCTCCTGCAGTCGTAGTCCATCTCCAAAAAATAAAAAGAAGACTTTGACGGCAGGAAGGAATGACTCAGAGGCAGGTGCAAGTATGTTAGAGGAAGACAGCGAAAATAATTTAGCTGATATTGACGATAAGGATAGTGCTAAAAGCATGGAGAATACAAAAGTATTACAAAAATTGGAGACCTTAGATATAGCGGAAAAAAACTAATATTCATTAATATACATATAACAAATTCAGAGAGAGTTCGCATACAAACTTAAGCGTCTGATTTATTTGCTGTTTTATATTACTTGATCCTTTTGCTTTATTAAGATTAACTTATATTAAAAATGTATTATATCGATAATCATTTAAACTATATGTAACATATAATAAAGTTATTTAATAGACAATAATCGATAATTCGTGTACAGATTTATAATATATTAATAATATGAATCCGTAATAGTCTTTCAATCCTTGAAAAAGTAGCAATAAATTATACTTAATATATGATCAAATAAACTTTTAAAAATCCTTAAAGTCCAAAAAAAAATTATTCTAATATTTTGAAATTCTGAAGTTCTTAAAATGCAATGCGGATTCAGTGTTATCAAATTCGTTTATTAGTGAGGTTATATGATAGCTTGTCAGTCAAAACCTTGAACATACTAAGTTCTACTTTTATATCAAATTATTGTTATATCTGTAAGCAGTATAGATTTCTATGTCTTATACATGTTACCCATATTAAATGATTAGTTTAGACGTGTGCAACAGGGGAACAAGATACAACAGAGTCTAAATAAATCAGATATTGCATGGTATATATACTCTTGGTCAACACATGAAATGAAGTAAAACTTCGTTATCCGCTTCTCTTCAATCAGACATCTGTTGATGAAAATAGGTGAAATACTTTAAAACAACAAGTGAATCGATGACATCAAGTATAAAATCTATAACACTCAATATATATAAATTTGTGAATATCTTGGGATACTCAGCATTACATGTATAACTTAAAAAACTATACACAGTCGCAGTAAGTATAGCAATAGCTATCTAAAAATATTTAAATCCCGACTTATATTCCTTCAATATAAAATCAAAATCTACAAAATAATCATAAAGTCTATCATAGCATATGTTTGTGATATATAGACCTTTGATAAAACTGTGGAGACAAGTACCAAAAAACACCGCAAAATACTTATATCTGAGAAATTATAAATTGCAATATCAGAACGTATTATGTATAACCCGTATATATATCGCGACGATGGAGATAATAAAAATTAAAAAAACAATTTTGAGTTTTTGCTCATTGAATATTAAAAAAGATATATATCAGATAAAAAGCATATGAACAATTATGCAAGCAGATGTATAAGATTTAAGGCGATGTTATTAACCTAGTTGTCAGAAACTGGATAAATGCTGCACAAGATATAGGACAATGAAGTACCTATGTTGTACAAATCAAAGGTACCCTCGAGCTATAGTGTTGAAAGATATTGTTAAACATGAAATAAAACATTTTTTTTTAATTTTGATTATTAAAATAGAAAATAGATTATTAAAAAATAGATATAGTCAGTGAAAAGTTAAGACAGCTCGTATCTTATTTTTTGATAACATAACAATTTGTTTGAATTTGAAAATATAGACAATGGTCATTAATGACAAAACTATATTATAGCTCTTGACTAACTGTAAGAGTTATAGAAATTAAGCATACCTCAGTTATATAGTCCAGCTGAGACGATTAGAAAACAAGCAAATTGTATTAAAAACTTGTATTAAATTTGCTTATATAGCTAACATATTAAAATTTTGTAAGCCGCACTTGAACATAATATTGTAAAGGTGTCTTTTAGAATTTAGGACTCTTAGCCAGAATTCGTATTGTGTACCCATGAGCGGCTCTTTTCAGCTCATTCTGCTTACAGCCCGTGAGCAGGCAAGATACTCGTTTCATACGATGGCGATGCTAGTAGTACGAGCAGAAAAAACCCTTTTTGCATATCTAGATTAGTTTAAATAAGTACAGGGGTTCATAGAGCCACATGTTCTTGAAGCTAACCAAACACGAGATTTATTCATGTTTTTGAATAAAGGCTATAAAGACATAAATCTGAATATGTAAATAAACCACTTTTTCTTATAAAATACCAGATATAGGTAACATTTAACGAATAAATCGCGAGTGGTATTTATTTACCTGTGTTTCTATTAATAAAATTATAATACTTGACATTCAATAAATATATGTTTTACAGGTAAAATTTAAGCACTTTGTTAAAAATTATATTCTTTTAATACAGAATGTATTGCTACATTATTAGAAAGTCCTGCAGCTATTCCATTTATCTCTTTAACTACAAGAACTTTTATTTATTTCCCATACATAACTTACGTCTAGTACTTATTTCTATACTTATTTTAAGCGTATTACAATAAATGTTTTATTCCTTATGGAATAATTATAAAAACTATGTAAGACAAGTAAATACTTGTCGGGTTATTTGTGGTTAATTATTTCCGACATTTTTCTTGATTCTGACCAAAGTTAATCAAAGTTTAAGTGCTTTGCTGTACTATGCACTACGATAATGGTCTGGGTTTGCAATTTTTTCGTACTTTATAGACCGAGCCACGTTGGTGATGTAGTGGAAATCAATTAAGTAAACACACTAGAATACACTTTGGTCCTTTGTGACATTAAATCGAAAAGGGAAGTGCTTATGTCAAGTGGCGGGACAATTGGAATTGGACATAACTGCAGACTACCATAAGATTGTGTGTTTGCAGTTGGCAGCACTTAAAATCTGTACAATAGCCAGTGTACAATAGCGGAGATATTGGCTTCAGTGGAAATACATGCGAAATTCATTCAAATTGGTATTATAAGCCGGATTTTTTTTGTTGAAAGTTTTTTTAAGACATCAACAAAAACCAAAGAAAAATCAACAAGTATTAGAAAAAATTGTAGAGCAACAAGTGCAAATATAAACTTTTTTCGAACTTTAAAGGAATTCGCTTTATGCCAAAATTTTACGCAAAATGAAAAATAATAGAGAATAGAAGAACTATTCCCGAAGGACTAGGACTATAGAGACAACAGAACACAATCAAAAGTGAAATACTTTGTGAAAAGGATTTGGCTTTGACTGCTACTTGTTGAAAGTCTGAATTGAGGAAATTGCACAGAAACGACTTAGCAAAAAACTGCGAAAGATAAAGAATAAAAGTAAAAGTAAAAGGAGAAAAAATATTTACTGAAGGAAGAAAACCAGCAACGGAAGTGTGCTTAGCAAAACTATGAAGTTTTGCTATTTGGCTTCCTTATCCTTCACGGCCGCTTTCAGATAAATCAAACATTATTTAAAGAAGTAACTTCGTTTGAGAGTGCAAAGATGGTTTACGGTGTGTTTGCCACTTAAGTGATTTACTTGAGCGAGGACTTGAGGTGTTGCAACATACCTTTTCACTTAGCACATTTCTCCCTTTGCCACTTTCTGCTAAGCCGCATAATAAAGCAATAAATTAACTCTAGTTTAAGTATGTGTTTGGTTTAAATAAATGTTGGAATTACTTTGATTTCATGAGATCTATCTGACCACAATAATAAATAGTGCTATGAATAAATTGTACCAATAATATTCCATATGGGGTTGATTTTACTTCTGCAATTATTTAGGATCAAAATATTAAACGAAAATAGGGAAGAGTTTCGTGAGACCAAGTGGGGGATAAATAATGTTGCATGCCTAAATGTGTTGTCAGCCACATACAAGGCTATTTAAATTTGACTTTCTACCAAGTGATTTATGAGCTGAAATTCTTGGTAAAGATGTGTATAATATATACAAATATATAAATAAACAACACATAGAATATATATACATACATAGGTATATAACAAATAATATAGTTAAATGATTAAAATTTGAACAAAAAAGAAAGTATGTATATTAACTTTCAGTTCTATATCTCCGATATATACATCACTATGCAAAGAAGAGTAAAACACATGAAGTTCTATAAAAAATATGCATATTTCAGACTAAAGTAATAAGAGATAATGTTTTTCTAGTTTGATGTTGAATATTTCGCGACTTTAATTTTAATTAAAAATGATTAATTGTTTATAAATAATATCGCATTCTCTTATATGTATATGTATTTTAAAGGTATGGAAAACCTCATCATCAAATTAGAGAAAAAGTACGAGGAAATTTATAGTCCTAAGATTTCCTACAATAATAGATAAGATAGTCCTATAAGATTTTTAAGAGAAGTGTTAACATATGAAGAAATGTTAGTTCTGAAATCTATATGTAAATCATTGCTTTCTGGAATCAACCTTACCTTATAGAAAGTTTGTGATTTTGTTAGAGATAGTCGTTTCAAAAGTGTTAAATAAGAGGTTTAACTTCCAAGCCATCATCATTAATATTTTTAAGTTAATTTTTATTTTATAAGTATATGAAATTATATATGAAGCTAAAAAACATATACTTAGAAAAACTTTTTATCTATTTCCTTTTAATTTTAATTTTCATTACTTAAGTTATTTCCATTGTTCTTACTTCAAGTTCGTCTGCTGAACCCTGAGAGACCCTGAAGAGACTTCATTATCAATCTATGCCTTTTTATTGTATTATCTGATAAGCTTCTTTTTATTTTCTTCTGTTTCTGAATGGTTTTGTATTTTAAGTGGCTTTTACACATTCATTGCATCCTTCATTTATCAGCAATGCTAATGTGTAGCTGCTAAATGACAGCCATAAAACAAATCACAGGAAAACATTCATTTCGTTAAGTGGCGGTGCTATGTTCCACAGGATTTCCAACCACAGGATAATAAAAGTATTTATATTGAGAAAAAAGTAGTATAAAGAAGTCTGAGTGGAAATATAAATACGGATAATTTCGATTTTATTTCAGGTGATTGCACAATGTCAATTTAAATGCGAGAACGGATAGTTCACTCAGATTGCATAAATTTTAATATTCATTTACGAAATACCAGAAGTATAGAAACAAGCATTTATTTGACTTACCAACGGTTGTTAGCAACATGTTATCCAATAGCAAAGCTATTGCTACAATTACTAATACTAAACGGCGAGAGCCACGCCAGCCTATCATCCAATTTTTAAATGCAGCCCATGAGCCGGCAGCGCTCGGATCCTCCTGTCGGTATTGGTCTGGTGGCGGCTGTGGGGATGTTAAATGGGCACCAAACATATGTGACTGATTTGTTTTGCCCGGTGTTGTAGCATTCGTAGTTCCTCCAGCACC